ACTTGGAGGGTGCAGCATATCAGTCTCAGCCAGCCATGTGCACCATGGAGGGAAGGAAGCTTGCAGTGAGCCCTCATGTGATGGGGAGGAGGCAGGAGAGTTGTGCATCCTGAGAAGGCCAAAGAGACAGGAGGGCCATCTTTGTCAAAGCATAGCGGGGACAGTGAGGTGCTCTGGCACTCTGAGGGCTAAACACGGACTCAGTGCACTGGGGAGGAGACCAGAAAGTGGCCCTGCTCGGGGTCTCTCAGCACAAGATGGTATGCCCAGACCTGGACTTCCCTCTTGCCCATGGTCCTGGACCCAGGGCCGAAAGAAGAAGGTCTAGGACTGGATGCTCAGTCCCTCTTGGGAGGTCTGGACAATGCTCTCTGGGCACTTTGACCCCTGAAACCACCGTTGGTCAGGCAGTTGGCACACGAGGAAGTGACCGGGCAGCAGGGGGAGGCTTTCCCCAGCATGGTTGTAGCAAGATCTTTCAACAAATGAACAAAGCCAACCCAGTTCCTGTGGAGTCAGTTCCTGACTCATGGCGACCCCACTTGTTGCAGAAGAGCTCTGTTGCTGCGTTGGGCTTCAAGGCTGTAGATTTTCAGCAGCAGCAGAGAGCCAGGCCTTTCTGTGGAGGCACCATGGCGTGGACTTGAACTGGCAACTTTTCAATGAGCAGTGCGGAATGATTGCATCACCCAGGGGCTCAACCGAGATGTTTACTGAACCCTTATTAGGTGCCTGCCTGTCATTTCTATCTCCACAGCAGTCCAACATGGTAGCTGATATCCTGAGAGTTGTGCCAACTATATTTCTTGTGCCCTTTGGACCCACTCCCTCGCTACCCTGCACTGGGTCCTGGGAAGCTGGCCCATGCCAATCATCTCCATGGGTTTCTTTGCAACTTCTGGCTACAATGGGCCAATGGGAGCCGCTGACAGAGGAGCAGGCGATTCGGTGGTGGTTGGTGGTAAATATTTACTTGGCTGCATCCTACAACTCCTGTGCCCCAGTCTGTTTCTCCCTGGTACTCGTCAGGCGCCCAAGGTAGCTTGTGTGCTTTTCCTTAGCCGTGCTCATGCCTTGTCCTCTAGGAAAGTGTCTTTAAGTTACTCAGTTCAGGTGTACCGTCTGTTTTACTGCCAGGGATGCTGACGGATACACATTCTATTAGACTGAACACACAACGGAGGTTCTGAGAGCTTGCCTGCAGGGCGGTGAGGAAGCTGTGGTCATCAAGTCGTAAGCTGTGATTCAGGCTTAGGGTGGGGCAGGTAGTATAGCTTAGACTTGAAGCTTCTATTTTTTCAAATATAATTTTAAAGATTAATTTTTATTGGCATATATTATACAACTCAAATACATATGTGGGGGGAAGTCAGATCCTTGCTGCCAGACTGCCGTCTCATCCCACCACAGGGGTGGGCCTGCTTCCTGCCTCTGGGGACAATGGACAGGCTCCTGTAGGAGGAGTTTTCACCCTACTGATAATGGTTCCTATGGAGACCCAGAGACCACCCCCTAGACCACTCCCTCATTACTGTGTAACCTATAGTGCAGCTCCTCCCTGTGATGTATGTCTCTACCTGTAATTAGTGGGCTGGCTTGCCCCCAAAAGGTATATAGGTTTGAGTCAGCAATATAGATCGCTCTCTGACCTCTCGGACCTCTCTGACTCTCTCTCACTCCCCTCTCTTCCCCCTCTCCCTTGTTCCCTTGTCCTCCTTCCCTTCCCCTCTCTCCACGTGGACCACCAAGCTGGGCTGAGGTGAGCAATGCTACCATGTAATGTGTCTAACTGCATTATTGTAATATCTCTCATGCTCTAGATGACTTTAATATAATACTTATATATCTCAACCGTACAATTGTGCATTACTAAACCCAAAAGTAGTATTACTGAACCAGTGAGTTCTATCAGCGGGTGGGGGCTGGCTCCCCATCTCCCCCGTGCCACTTTTAATTTAATACTGCATACACATATCATACAATTTGAAATATAATTAAAAATTAATTTTCGTTGGCATAGTTCGCCTATCATACAATTCAGTCGTTCAATCATATTGAGAAGAGCTGTGTAACCATCAATCACCAGGATGCATTTTAGAACATTTTCTCCTTCGTGCACTCACTGTTGTTAGCTCTCTGTTCCCCCTCCCCCAAATCCCTTGCCATGTACCTAGGTAATTATTAATCCAGTTACTGGCCCGATAGATTTACCTATCCTGGATTTCATATACAGAAAAAAAACCCAACAACTCCATACATGACAAAATTAAGAGACACATACAACAACAACACAAACCTAAAAACAATGACAAAATAAAATAGAGAAAAGCCTCACTTGAAAATAAAGAATTCCAGGGAACATCCTAGGTGTGCTGAGGGGTCCAGGAGGGCATAACTTGGCCCCCAAAGGGGTGGGGGCCAGGGGCCCCTAAGCAAGGTGACCCCTCCCTGCCCAGCCCTCTCCTTCACTTCCTCTCTCCTCTGGATCAAAGCATAATAAAGAGAAGGTTTAGAATGTGGGGAAAACAAAGAAAGAAAAGAAAGCATGACATATTAAAATGGGAGCAAATTTAAAATGAGTCCAACAGGGAGATAACATGATAAGGTGTTGCGTTTTTAACCTACCTGCATCAGCGATAATCAACTTTATAATGCTACCACATCTCTGGGCTAAGGTCAGAGTCTTCATCCTCATGAGGACCCTGCAAATGGATTTTGGGCTTCCACTGTCATCCATAGCCTTCTGAAAACTAGGTGTTCAGAATTTAAGTTCTGATACCATTCCCTCCTCTGGATTTGGATTTTTATTATTTATAATAATTGAGTTACACAGGCTGGTATGCTTCTTCCATGTGGACTTAGTTGTCACCTCACTTAGATGGTTGCTTGTCTGGAGATAAGCTTTTAAGACCCCAGATGCTATTCTTTCTGATAGTTGGCACCATCTAATTTCTTCACCACACTTTGCTATAGCACCCATATCCCAGTGATAGCTACATGATGACAAGTATCAGTTAGGACCATGAGCCCTGCACCTTTTAAACTTGGCTGACTTATCTATCTTCTAATGACCACACGTGAGAACAAATGGGAGCCATGACCTGTGCTTCCAGTGACCTCTGGCCCACTGGCTCCTGGCCTTGACTTTGCCAGTCCCTAAATGTCTTGCTGGGTGATGTGAATGGTTTGTGCTTGACTACTAACCAGCCCCCAGTCCCCGTCTGGTAGTTTGCACCCACCCAGTGGGGTCATGAAAGTCCTGGTGATCTAGCTCCATAAAGATTGCTGATGTGAGAAGACATCAAGTTGCTTCCCCTCAGAGTGACCCATGTGACAGAGTAGAACTGCCCCAAGTTTTCTGGGCTGTAACTTTTATGGAAGCTGATGGTCAGGCCTTTCTTTTATGGAGTTTTGGATTTGCTAACCAATTCCGTTTGGTCAACAGCTGAGCACTTACCTGGTAAGTCACGGAGGCTCCTTCCATAGGGATCACACCAAGCCGACTCCAAGAAGCAGTTCTCGTCTGTAATACGTGAGGTCACCATGAGTCAGAACCTCTTGGAATTTGTAAAGCCCACACTCCCTTTTGCTTCACTTGGATGTCTGAGTCGCCTGGGAGTGGAGCTGGGAGCTATCCCTGGGGTTGATAAGTGAAGGGGTGTCTTTCTGTCTTCCCCAAGCTCTACTCCCTATCCAGTCCCAGCATCCTGGCAGGACCTCCCCTCCCTCCCAAATCAAATCTACTGCCTTTGAGTTGATCCTGATTCATAGCAACCCAATAAGACCGAGTAGAACTGACCCACAGGGTTTCCATGGCTGTAAACCTTTACAGATGCCGACTGCCACATCTTTTTCCCGTGGAGAAGCCAGAGGCTTAATGCCCTGCATCACCAGGGCTCCTTGGCAAGGTCTTGGTATGGAGAAAATGCTCAGGGAAAATGAAATGGACCATATAAAATGCGTAGGCGAGGCTGGGCCTGCATGCTTTTACAAGAGCAGCGTGGCTTCCGGTGTGTACTTGGGGAGTCAGAGTATGAATAACTGGACTGTGTGTACACAGGGTGGGGATGTGGTTAGTGGATGCCAGCGATTGTGTGACTAAGGAGGGAGGCTTGTGGTTTCTCTGAGTGACAGTGATTGCGTTCCTTCTCAGGGCAGGATCTGCGGTTGTAGAGGGAGCATGCTGCCCTCGTGTGGTCCTCACTAGAACCACAACATGTATATCCATAGACTCTCCCTTAGCCAGCTCCCACCAGCCTCCACCCCAGTCCTGGTCTACCTTCACCTCCTGGGAAGGAGCTCTTTTCCCTTCTGAGGGCTACTCCTCACCCTCAGGCTCCTGCAGGTGTGAGTGTGGGAAAACGGAGGCCAGAGCCTGTCTGTATAAAACACAGCCTTTATTGATTTCCAGAAAACGGTAGATTCCTGTCAGTCCATCCACCCAGCATCCCAAGAAGCAAGGGTCTGAAAGGTGGGCCCCAGACTTCCCACAACTGCAGCAGAGAGGATGACAGAAAGCTACCGGAGGAGGGGGCTGCCAGGGCTTCTTGAGCAGGGACTGACCTCACCAGATCCGCCCCCTCTTTCCACCAGGGGCCCAGAGCCTCCCTACGCCACTGGGAGAACCCTGCTTCTGGTGGTGGGGAGACTTCTTTTGCTCCGGTACACCCCATCACCGGCCTGGCCTCCCTGCTGTTCTCCGTTTGGACACACTTCTCCCCCCTCTCTGGGCCACCTCCTCCTGGCTTAAGTAGACGTTGTGGCTACGAACCCCCTTAGGGGGTTCACTTGTTTGATGCCCTGCATAGGTCCCTGGTGTTCCTTACACACACCCGGGTGTATAGCAGAGAACCCCACACTCAAAGGGTCAAGGCATGAACTTGGGTCATTTGGTAAATTAGCTTAGCTCAGTGGGGGCACCCAGCACCTGTAGGACTCTTGGCAATACCTCCCTGCATGTCCCCGCAGCCAGCACCCCGACAGGCACCCCGGCCCGCGTGTCAGATGGGGGTCAGGTTGGGTGCTGACGCCTGCGACTTGTCACTGCTCGGGCTGGGATCGGGCTCCGCAGCTTCCAGTAGCTTGTGGTGGCAGCGGCAGGTGGAGGCGCGGCTGGCCGAGGCCGCGGCCGGGGCGCTGCTGCGGGGTCCCTGGGCCTTGCTCTGGTGCATGCTCCGCAGCACCCTGTGGAAGATGAGGTAGCAGATCTCGCAGATGGTGAGCACGATGCAGATGGCCGAGGCGCCCACCATGAAGTAGGTGAAGACCTTCTTCTCGGTGGGCCGGGCGATGTAGCAGTCCACGGTGTTGGGGCAGGGGACCACTTTGCTGCACTGCACCAGGCGGGGCATGCTGAAGCCGTGCCAGAGCATGTGCAGCAAGTACAGGAAGACGAACTCAATGGCCAGCTTGAAGACCAGGCTGAGCAGGTAGGTCCACCACAGGCCGCCGTGCTTCTTGCCCGTGTCGTCGTAGAGCTTGGCGCAGTGCTCGCCGTGCTTGAGCCGGTGCTTACGCTCGCGGTCCTCGCGGTAGGCCACGTGCAGGATGACCAGCAGCGACGGGCAGGTGACGAAGATGAGCTGCAGGGCCCAGAGGCGGATGTTGGAGATGGGGAAGAACTCGTCGTAGCAGACGTTGGTGCAGCCCGGCTGCCTGGTGTTGCAGTCAAAGTCCTTCTGCTCGTCGCCCCACACGCGCTCGGCGGCCACCACGTACACCAGCACGCGGAAGACGAACACCACCGACAGCCAGATGCGCCCGAAGGCGGTGGAGTACTTGTTGACGCCGCTCAGGAGGCTCTGGAGCGTCTTCCAGTCCATGGTGCCGGATGGGGCGCCCAGGGGCTGCGCCTACCTGAGGGAGCAGCAGACAGATCATAAGCGCGGCTTATTGAGTTGTACACCTGACGATTGCCAACCATGGGGTTGTCATCGGATGAGTTGGGAAGCAGGTGGCCAGGGCCTCCCTTCCTCTTCCATCTTAACCTGCTCGGCATCCTAGCAACACCCTAGTCTCCCTGGGTGGATGGATGGTGGATGCACTGGAGGCACATTGGGAGGGGCTTGAACCTGGGTCTCCTGCAGGGAAGGTGAGCATTCTACCACTGAACCACAATTATTGTTCCCCTCTACTTCCCCCCACGCCACGAATTAATCTCAAACCAGATTCACTACTATTGAGTCAATTCTGATGCATAACGACCCTTTTTAGGGTATCTGAGACTGTTAATCTTTATAGGAGCAGACAGCCTCATCTTTCTCCAGCTCAGCTGCTGGTGGGTTTGAACCGCCAACCTTGCAGTGCTTATCTCACAGCACCCCCCAGAAACCTTAATGAGTGCAAAGCGCAATGGGGACAAAGCACATGCTTAATAAATGCTGGCCGCTCTTGGCTGTGACATCTAGAGAAGCCAAGAACCTCATTTAAAACTAGATTAAGACAGGCTGTTAGGTTCGGGGCATATATATTCCCCCACTTCCCCTCGCTGTCTCTGCGGGGACCTGCCCAGACCAGGCTCTGGCAGCTTGTTTCCATTCTACCCGCTACCATTCTACACAGCGAAAAGCGAGGCACAGAGAAGGGTACTAACCCACAGCCCCTGGGTACTGAAGATGGAAGAGGAACTCCGTTTGGGGGTGCATGGGGTGGATCCTCCCCCAAACCCTACCCACTGCCATCTAGTCGATGACAACCCGGAGACCCAATATAGGAGTTTGAGACTGTAAGGCTAGAGACAGTCTCATTGTTCTAAGGAGCGGGGTGAGCTTGAACTGGCAGCTTTGTGGCTAGCAGTCCAATGCCTAGTCACTAGATCCAAGGAGTAGTTAGAGATAACTGCCCCCTACTCCCTTTCCCTGCCAGACTGTGCCAGGGTCTGGAAAGCCCCGGGCAATCTCAGCCATTGCTGCCTGCCAGGGCTTTGTGGTGGGAGGCTGGCATCGTCCAGACCCCAAACCGCACATTCTTCCCCAAGCCCAGTGTGACTCAGAGGGTGTGGAAGGGCGAGCCCAGCGAGTGCACATCGCTTCTGCATGCAGTTGTGGGAGGTGGTGTGAAAAGACACGGGCCTCCCCATGTGTGAGTGTGCACCTGAGTGCCTGCTTGCCTGGCTCTGTCTGCGTGCGTGTGAATGAGCATGTGTTCTCGGAGCTGGGTTGGGAGTTGGCGTGAGATGCCTGTGGCTGGCCTTTTTGCCCCTTGGGGACCACCAGCGCTCTGCCTGTTGTACTGTCTGCTGCCTTACTGCCTTGCAGCTTCAGCTCCGAGTTGCCAGTACCTGGACTGGTTGCCATGGAGTTGACCCCGAGTATCACTGGAGGACTCCATCCCACAGTTCTTCTGCTCCATGGTGATTGGCGAGAAAAGATCCTCAGGCCTTTCCCCTGCGTCATCTTTGGCTAAGCTTAAGCTTCCAACTTTTCAGTAGCTGAGTGTTAACCATTTGTAGCCCCTCCTCCCATTTGTACTTCCTGTGCCCTGCTCCAAAAACCAACCCAACGTCACTGCTTTTAAGCCGGTTCTGACTCAGAGGCAACTCTAGGACAGGGTGAAACTGGCCCATGGGTTTCTGAGACTATAAAACTTTACAGGGTTAGAAAGCCTCGTCTTTCTCCTGGACAGTGGCTGGTAGTTTCAAACTGCTGATCTGTGGTGAGTAGTCTGATACATAGCCACTATGCTACCAGGGATCCTGGAGTCCATTCAGTTGACTCACGCTTAACAAGTCTCTACTAGGGTCCCAGGCTTGGAATTGAAGCCCAGTCTCTGCAGTCTTGTCCTCTTCCATTCACCCCACCTCTTTCTTGCTCCTGCCATGCTAGGGTTTTGTGTCTTTTGCCTAGAATGCTCTTCCTCTAGAACCTTACATAGCTGGGTCCTTCTCATCATTGAGGCCTCTGCTTAAACTCCGTCTCTCTGGAGGTTCCCTCAGGTTACCCCATCAGAGAGCACCCCCTGCCCTCCCAGCCACTCTGCTCAAGGTTTTGTTCGTTCTTCATCCTTGCTGTCCGTCTCTCCCACTGAGAGGGAGCTGCTCTCTCTGGCCTGTACACTGTTTTGGATTTAGTGCCCAGGGCTTGGCACATTTCAAAACTCAAAACTCACTGCCATCGAGCTGATTCTGATTCATAGTGACACCATTCGACACAGTAGACCTGCCCTTATGGGTTTCCAACACTAACTTTCTATGGGAGTAGATAGCCTCATCTTTCTCCCTTGGAGTGGCTGGTGGTTTTGAACTGCTGACTTTCGGTTAGCAGCCCGATTCATAACCACTATCCCAAGCACCTACAATGTGCTTTTGTTAGGCACACAGTAGGGACTGAACCAATGCCGACAGGATGAACGAATGCATCCAGGTTGCATTCTCAGAGAGGCAGTGCGGGGGTGTGGGCAGAGCATCAAGGGGTTGAGGGACAGGATCTGGGGTGACTTGGGAAGACCTCATCTCTGAAAACTCCTCTCCTTGTCTCTCTCACTCTTCTCTTTCTCAGCCCTGGGGAGGGGCAGGAGACTCTCCACTCAGCATGGGGTCACACCTGAATGCATACCTCAGTTCTGTCACTTTACCTGGGAGACTTCCAAGAGTCCTCTAATCCCATCGACCCCACTGCTTTATCTCTGAGTGGAAACAGTCCTTACTTTCTTGGGCTGTTGTAAGAATCATAAGAGCTCATTCTCCTCATTTTCTCCCTTGGCTGCAGTTGAAGTTTGAACCCTGACTGGTGTCTGGCAGCCTGCAAGGAGGGACCGTGTCTGCCCCCTGCCCCCAACCCCCTATGCTGGCATTCTCTTGAGCCTGCTCACAGCTGACACCCCTGTGTAGCTCCTTCCTGGACCCCCATCGCCCACCTCTGATGTGGTCTGCCAGACACCCTGTGGACAGACTCACCAGCAAAGCATTTCCCTCCCAAGGGCAGGCTGGAGGCTCGGGTGCCTGGTTCTGGCTTCTTCCTTGGGCCCCCAGAGCATCCTTGGCTCCCCCGCCCTTGGACCTGGCTAGAACTAGTGTTTCTCCAGTCTAGACCACGAAGGCTTTGTAGACTTGTGTCTGGTGGTCCCCGAGGCTTCCAGCATCTACAGCTTCCAGCCCCTGCAGCTTCCACCCTACCCAGGGGGCATGGGGGTAGGGTCCCACCACTGCTTGCCTTCTCTCTACCCCAGCCCGTTTCCAGGGGAGTCTCAAAGCCGCGGTGGGAGCGGGGAGCAGAACCCCCGCCCTTCCCAGCCCTGCACTTACCAGGAGCAAGAGGCCACCAGCCACCTTGGGGCCGAGACCCCAAGGCAGTGGCAGGAGGATCGGTGCCCGGGCTGGTGGTGCGGCACCACGGCGCACCGCAGGCACAGGCACCCCAGGCACAGGCACCCGGGGACTTCCCGGGACAGGGAAGTCAGGGAGGAGCCAGCCAAGCGTCGTCCCGTGCCACGATCCGCCCAAGGTCTAGTTGGCTTGCTGCAACCTGTTCTGGCGACAGCCTTTGGAGGGGCTCTTAGGGCCTCTGCGCCTCAGTTGCCTCCTTTGCGGCGTGGGGGAATCGTTGCCCGTGGGCAGGGCTGTTGCCCAGGGACCAATGGGAACAGGGGCGTGAAGCTCCTAAACTGAAGTGCCCTGGCCGCAGATGGACAGCAATCGTGACTCACCCATGCTCCTTACCTCCGATACTCGCCCGCGCCCTGCCAGCCACGGTCCCCGCCTGGCACGACCCCGCGAGGAGAGGAGAGGAGAGCGCTGCCCTCCAGGCCACAGGCCACCGGGCGGCGCCTCCTGGACCGCACCGCCCTGCCTGCTCGCTGGGTCTCTGTGTCCTGGAATGAGGCCTGCGGACTTTGGAGAACAGGGTGGGGACAGGCCCTGGGCTTGGAAAGACATTGGGGCGCACGCGCTGGAGGGGGTGTTCTAAGGCCAGGGGAAGAGGCAGGGCAGGAGGGATTAGGACGCCGGCACAGAGGGGGCGGGGCAGCGGGGCAACCCGCCCCTCACACACACACCTGCGAAGGAAGGCAGGCTTGCGGCTGGGGTGGGGAGGGGTTGGGCTCTGGGCACAAGGGCTCTTTGTCTCCCTATTAGAATGCAGTGGCTGGGAACCCAGTAAGAGCTCTTGGCGTCTGGCATTGGTGACAGGGAAGCCCCAGGGCTTCCTGCCAGGATGTTAGTCATCATCCAACACTATCCCCACTCCCCTGCAGCCTGCACCCTTACTGTCTGCTAGCCTGAGGGTGACCCTACAGTGAGGTCCGCCGGGAGGAGGGTTCACACCTGTGCTCCCAGTGCTATGGAGAGCGCTCCTTTTACCCTCAAAACTGTCCACGGAAGAAGGTCCACTCAAGGCCACCCCACCTATTACTCATTGCAGTGGCCCAAGTCCCACAGCAATGGGAGGGACCTCTCTGCGCCTCAGCCTCCAGAGGAAGGTGGAAGCATCCCTCTCCACTTTATGAAGGGAAGGGCAGGGGCACAGAGATGTGAGGGGACCCTGGACGACCTACCCATGCTGAGCTAGCTTTTGGATAGGGCAAAGGATTAGGGCAGTGGCCCCCTTCTCCTCCTTGCCAAGGTCAGGAACTGGGAAACCTTTGCTGAGGTCCCTCGAGCTGGTGCCTGTGCGGTTCCAGACTTGTGCCAATGTGGGGCTATGTGGGAGTACGGCGAGGTACCAATTGTGGGCCCCCAACTCTCACACATGCTCCCTGCTCCTTGTTGCTCCATTCCCTTTCAGAGCCAACTGGTCTCCACTTCCTGACTTCTTATTCACTCTTCAAGCCATTCAAACAATACCCTGGTCCCTATTATGCAACTGCAGCCCTGGTGGTGCTGTGGGGG